AATAACAAAGATATATGTCTGAAACAAACACAGAAGAAACACACACATTATTAATAACAAAACAAAATTTAAACCACTCCTTCTAAGGGAGAAAACCAAATGATATTAGGAGGCATGACCTAGAAGTAAGAAAATACACTATGATACAATACAGCTAATGTTCTGCGACCCTCTTCAACGCGGTATATTCCGACACATTAAGGACACATCGAGAAATGAAAAACTATAAAAAAATAACCGTATGCGTTACCGGTACTCGAGTTCTGTTTGCTTTATGTGACTTGCAAAACACTGTACTATGCGCCAGCAACAATGAAATGTCACAAAATGTTGCAATATTTATTTAAAAGTCTTTAGAATGCAAACCTACCAAATCCCTATATTCCGACACTGTGTGTGGCAATATTCGACACATGGTGAGGCATATTCCGTCCGCGCGTCAAATTCTACTGATACGTAATGCCGTCATCCACGTGTTTGAATTCCGTTTGCTGTGTGAGCTGTATTGGAATACAACACGGCTTTGAATTAGAACACTAATGAATATTGAACACTACTTAATTACGCTTTTAATTAACAACTATTAAGCTTTTAATTAAGCAAATTTTAATTTTTGTACATAGCTTGGAATGATCTGTGTGTGTCCAATTCAAGTTGTGACGGAATTAATTTTCACGTGTCTAAATCAATTTCTCAATTTAATCATCTATTAATTTATTTACCACTTGAAATCAGCAAATACAAGTATACTTAAAGGATTCCTAATATATTCACAGACGTATTTAAAAGTCTCAAATCATAATATTCTTCCTATAGAAACAGTTATTCACTATTTGGTAGAGCAAGGTCAACTGTCAAATTTGACACATTTTTCGATGATCTCACTGAGTAGCGTGCATTGTCTCTCAATATTTTCCCGCTAGATGGCCAAGACCTAGTGTTTTGGCAGTAGTTCGACGTGCAAATGTATGACGTCACCATTTCAACCATCAATGAACGCATGGAACTAAAACAAAGCTTAATACAAAGGAAAAACTAGAGAGGTGACGGAATTACCCACAATGTCAGAATATACCGTGTTTACCCTAGTTTGTTTGAAATCGTTTCTATTTCAGCTATTTGCATCAACAGGCAGGGTTGGTGATTTTTTATATTTTTTTTAAATAAAAAATATCAAAAATCAATGATTTTTTTTATTTATTTTATTTATTTTATTTTTTCAGCTTTTTTGTCTTTTTGAAGTGTTATTTTTTATGTTGCAATTAACCTACATACTAACAATAACAGTATATGGATCATAATGGATGGCTAAAAAGGGCACTTATTGCCTTCAATAATGGCCAACAGGCCAAGGTGGTGTTCACCACTTAGGGATTTTTGGGTAAACAATTATAGATAAGTCTATTCATTAGCTTTGTAAAGTTTGTATGGAGCAAGGTAATGAGCTAAATATTGACCATTTAACTGGCTTCAATATACAAAAACACTTCAGGAATGCAGATCTTCTAAACGTTGAAGTTGAAGAATCACATAACAGATAGGTAGCATGATAGAACAGTGCACAGCACTATCAATAGATCTACTAGTTTTATGTCCTATAAATCTACCAAACTCTACCCTCTATACACACCGACTAATAGTGACTGAGTGACTGACTGCACTGCTCCCATTTAATTCAGACCAATAAACCAATAGTAAACATAAACTGAACAATAACCAAACAAACCTCATACGACTTGAAACGAGACTTGAGTTATGAGAAAGCTAACACTGTTTGAAATAAACATGTGCACAATTCAAATATTTTATATCCATTCGCTGCTATTATTTTATTTATAGTCTTATAATTGTAATTGTTTTGTTTCTAGTTTTAAATTCACATATTTAAAGATTGAAATTAAATATTTTAATTAGAATACTCGTATTAGGGTGGAAAATCTTCCTAATTGCCTAAAAGGTCAATACAATCTCAACCTATCAATATACAGGGTGGGGCAGAACTGATTGAGCAGTTTTGAGGTAAAATAAAAGAGTAATGGAGGTACATAAAGAAGAAAGTTTATTTTCCTAGAGGTTAGCATAACATACCATTTATAATACTTATGTTTTGAAAACAATATCTGGAAGATGGGGGTTGTTAGCTGCAACACACTGTTGGAGTCGTTCTCAGAGGAGGGAGTTACCGTAACAGAGAATTCTGATTGCTATGCTGCAATGTTGCAAAATTTCTTGCAGCCCATGATGGAAAACATTGTTGAAAATGAAGCATTGGGAGACGTGTGGTTCCAGCAGGATGGGGCTACAGCTCACACAGCCCAAATGTCACTCAATGTTTTGAAACGCATGTTCCCGGACTCTGAGGGGTGATTTACAGTGGCCTGCAAGGTCACCTGATTTGAGCATTTGCGATTTCTTTCTTTGGTGACATCTAAAAGAAAGGGGATTCAGAAGTCGCCCTCACACCCTATCACAGCTAAGGGAACAGATTATTGCAGCAGAGGTTATGGCCATACCTTGCCATATGTGTGAACGTGTTGTAGAAAACTTCCAAGAACGACTCCAACAGTGTGATGCAGCTAACAAACCCCATCTTCCTGATATTGTTTTCAAAACATAAGTATTTTAAATGGTATGTTAAGCTAATCTTGAGGAAAATAAACTTTCTTCTGTATGTACCTCCATTACTCTTTTATTTTGCCTCAAAACTGTTAAATCAGTTCTGCCCCACCATGTATAAGCTAGCTAACACATTTAAATTGTATATTGTAATCAATATATTACAAATAGTCAAATAGTTGAAGACTACGTAAGAATTAGCTAAGAATTAGCTAAGGTACTAGCTACGTACAATGTATTGCACACTTGATGCCTCTGTACCAAAAACATTTAATTTATTGGAACCTAATACACACTAAAGGCAACAAGTTTATATACCAATTTGTCATTCATAGTACATTTATACTAAACCATGAATAACAATACCTCAATATAAATTAAAGACTGCCACTCAATATATTTAAATATATGAAAAAATAAAAAAAAATAAAAAAAATTAAAAAATAAAAAAGTCACGATTTTTTATAAAAAAAACAAGTGATTTAATCACATGATTTAATCATTTTCATTTAATCCTGGCCAACCCTGCTGCAGTGAGTACTGAGTTATATTTTTTGGGTATTAGCACACTACACTGCTTGGCAGTGCTTCCAATTTGCAAATTCCTGTATGAGAGGTCTTGAACAGAGGTGTAGTTTGAATGCAGCCTATAGCTCCTATCCTCTTGAAATTATGAACTGATAGGTTTTGCCTCTTTGTCTTTTATTTGTTCACCATGGATTATGGATATTTTGCAGTAATTCTACATGTAAAGTTGCAATGCAGCATGACATGATTGAGAAAAATTCATTCCTTACAGAGTTATTTTATTTTGTTACTGATTCATTTAATCAGCAATTATTGCATGCATCAGTTTTCACAAACTTCCTTCCTAATTTATTTACATTTTATTCATGTTTGGTTCATTATCTTATTCATGGAAGACCGTATTTTGTGCTCATGTTGAATGCTCAGCTTATGAATAGCAAATTAATTCCTAACTTACCTAAAATTTGTTTTGAACTTCTATGAAGTTTTAATTACATTTTAAGGATTAATTTCTAAATGAATGATAAGTGCTAATTTGATTTCATTACACTAGCGAATGAGGACTTGTTATTGAAGTCAACTAAGGACAACACTAGATTTCTTATTAGGTAATGATTAGTCTAAAATATCAGTTGTTTCCCAGCCTTCAGTAAATTGATGCTTGCCCAGTGCCCACACTTAGCCAAGTTATTTTTTAGATTATGTAGGTACTAATTTTTTGTCATCCTTCTCTTAAATTTACAATAGGCAGTGGGCATGTTTGAGCTCATGCTTTATGACTTCTAATGCAAGGCAAAGATCCTCATCACTTCTAGTCTTTTATCCATTTATTTGAAGGCTCATATCTTACCTACATATACAGTTTAGGACTTTAGGCACTCAAGCTTTGTGATCGCAGTTTAGATTGCTAAATTATACATAGCAGCTAATAATCATGCCAAAATTAGATGGTTTTGTCTTAATATTAGCAATAAGATTAAATTAAATTGAAATGCTTCTAAGTGAACTATTTTGTTACAGTAATGTATGGCGCAGTAAATATACCTACATACATATATATATAGTATATCTTCCAAATTAATTGACATTAAATTGGCTAACTTTTGTATTTTGGCAGAAAATTTGTCAAGGACTAGTTGATATCTTGTTGACACAATGTTTTATTTACAGAAAATCTAAGGATGAGGAACTGACTACTATTGAAGGCATTTCATTTTTTGTGCTCCTCAAAAGGTAGCTTATAAATACACATGCTATGGCGCAAGTTACTTATAATTCAGGAGCTCGGGTCTATCCAGGAGCTCATTCTATTCCTGAAGGAGATCTACATCCGGAAGCAAGTGCAAATCTCGAACATGATACTAATTTAGAAGCTCCAACAAATCTAGAAGCTCTCAAGAATGAGCTGCTTACTGAGTCTAAGAGCTACTGTTATCCATCCAATAAGAAAGAGATACGCCAACGCTACAAGAACACTGCCTACGAGCTATACAAGGTAGGAAACACCCTAAACGTTTTTATGGTTTGTTCCATATCTTTTGAGTTCTTTGTTTGGCTGAGGGTTGGTCAAATAGTACCTAGTTGTTCTCGTTATCATGAGACCTTGAAATGCATGAATGTTTGCAGTCTTCCAGTATTCATCTAAGCCATGTTCCCTACATATATATCATACATATCTAGAATTTCGAACTTTTGTTATGGCTCATGCAATCCTTCAATTCCGTGTAAGCTTGATGTTGACACTTATTTGGTCAATTTGATTATGTTTTAATTTCGTCTAGGACGCCCTACTCATAACAATGTTTCACTCCTTTCAGCAACTGAAATACCTGGAGTTCCGGCCAAATTTCCTGAGCTTTGGGAGTCGGCGGTCGTCAACAATTAGCAACTATGGTAATACTCCTATTGTGATGCGACGCTCCGTGAGCAGCAACGGCGAGCTCTCAGGTGTTCAGGCATATCATTTCGGGAGCCTGAGAGGCGTCCCTGCTTCGATGACCGAACAGGAGGGCAAGTACGGCACTCAGTTTGGCAGTTTAAGAGGTTTGCCTACCACTAAGCGACTCAGTAGATTTGACGAGGTTGAGGAAGAAACAGCACTCTTAGGCCAACGCGTCACTGACAGTCACGATGAACTCAAAACGGGGGAGTTATCTGGTCTACTTGATAACAAAAGCGAGCGTAGCTGGGATGCTGCCTCGGTTGACAATGGCATGAGTTCAATACACGGTAAAAAGGCTCATAAGAGTAAACTTTTCAGGAAGCACAAAGATCAATCAGGCATATATAAAGATAAGTGGAGAGAGAGCAGTGAGGCGTTGAAGGGAGACCTGAGCACCAAAAGTAGTCCTCTACACGAGGTGCATCACGATATCCAAAAGTCGAGCGAAAGTTTAACTTCAGTGAAAAGGAAGAAACTTTGGTGGTTTAGAAGAAAGAAATCTAAAATGCCTTATCCTCTTGAAGAGCATGCCATTGACCTCGCGAAGGGAAACGGAGCCAAGTTGCCACATGTTGAAGAGCGAACAAGTATGAACGAAAAAGCTGTCAGCGACAATAACTTGAAAATTCAACCGACTGAAGACATTCGAAGTGTTCATGAAGAATTAAGGAAGAGTCAGATTTTGCTGAAAGGATATTCTCAACGCAATGTCGCAGGTTTAAATTTGAGCAAACGTCTCTCGGGTGCCAATCAGTCTGTTACATCTCGCAGCAGCTTAACAGGGTCAGATTTGATGATGAGTGATAGCAGCAAGAGCTTCATGCAGTACGACTTACCTCGCACCAAAGAGCATCACCGTGTATCGCCTATTGGCAAAAACAGCGTCTCCGATATGATACGGGAAGGACAATCATACGAAGAACAATTCGAAACGAGTTTAGGAGGAGATTATCGAACAACGACCACGTTGCTGTCAGAACGCAATTCTTCTTCTGATCGTTATGACAATACCTCAGTGTTGGCACCAATAGCCGTTGGCGAAGAGTGGTTGCCGAACGTGTCTAATGACCTGAATCCAGTTGAGCATGATTTCGACGCAGAAAAATTTAACAGTAATGCTAAGCACACTGACTCGGCACTACAAGAACTAGAATCTCTAGACCGAATGTTGGGAGAGCTTCAAGAGGCTCAGGCTAACGAGAGTGTGGTTCAATACCACAATAGTGAGAGTTCAGATGTAGAATTGAGACATAACATGGAGCCTCTATCACCCGACAGTCGTCCGATCCGGCCTCTCCATGTTTCATCTCCAATCAAGTCCACAGCGTCGCCTCCTCTCATCCGTTCCAACGTTGTCAAAGCGGCATCTCTGCTTGGCCAGGAGCCTTATCCTCACTCTTTGATGGACCGGCCTATCACCTCGAGACTTGCCAAACGACTCTCCTCGGAAATGGAAGCAAAGGACGCTGCTGCTGACAAGAGTGACTCTGGTAAGAAATCGAACATTGCTTACACTCTTACTTTCGATAAAGAGCTACTGTGCGTTAATCTAAGAACGAAATCAGCCACTGGCGGTCCCAGCGATCCGATCGCTGTTTCTGCTGATCCTTCTGCTATACCTGAGGTGCCTATCGTTTCGGATAGAAACCTTCCATTTGATATTGATAACGAACAGGTGGTCACATTTGAAAGACAACATTCGGGAGGAGACGACCGAGAAACATCTCCGGGGTACAGACTTGCTTACCAAAAGGGTGGCAAAAGAAGCCCCACGCCCCCTCGCAGAAGTCTGCGGAAGAACCCTAAAGTGATGAGAGAAAAGGACCGTTTAACAACTCCAGGTATTAGTGTTGGGACTGAGGTAAAAAATTGCCAAGAACTGCCATTAGCGGTTCATCAAGTCGAAAATTTGTCTACGCCAAATACGAATATAGAGTCGGAAAAGAGAGAGTCGATAGACAACACAAAGGTCAGTGTCACTCGAGTACTTAGTGAGGATCCTCAAGATGATCCAGTTCTCAGAATTGATGTGAGGTCTGCATATGTTCAAGAAGCGGAAAAGAATCCTGAGAATGATTTTCCCGTCAGTGTTGAACGAATTTCTCAGCACATCGAAGTGATTGAGTTTAATAGTGAGCAAAAACCCATCAGTGATACCGACTTGGCCGATACAGAAAAAGTTCAAGTTTGTTTGGAGATGTTAAATGATCTTCCCGAGACAGTCATTTCGAACGCTCAGGATTCTGCTGCTCAAAGTAATGAAGAGCTTATTGATATTGAAGAAAAACCTATTCCTAAACTGCAACGTCGGAATACGTTTACTCTTTCGTGTAGCTCGGCGAAGGCAGCAAATGGTGAGGGACCTACCAACGGAGTTGAAGAAACAAATGTTAATCACAGTCAACAATTTAACGGCAGTAAAGAGTCCTCAGAGACATTGCGCCGCACCAACGGTGATTTGTCGGCCATACCTTTGCCTAAATCCCCGACTGTGCCGGAGAGCCCAATGTCCTCAAGTACGAGCTCCCTAAAATCTCCCAGCCATGTTGCGGCTGGTAGTCCCAACTTGGGAGGAGCCACTAAAACACGTATACCTGTGCGACGAGGTGCTACTCCCGAGTCAGCTTCCAAACCGAGAACCACGAGCAAAATTCCGATGATGACGTCCGGAACTCCAGAGCGTTCGTCACTGCGGGGTAAAATCGGTAATCGAGTTGGCGTTACAAACATACCGTCCGTAGGCATTCCTCCTCGCATTCCACCTCGCAAACCCAGCATCACTGACGGGTCTTCTGCCGCTGCCAAAATTGGTGCCGCCACGTCACCAATGACGGACAACTTCTTGAAGACAGACGACAATACCATTGTTGTGAAGAGAGAGACATTCATCCAGATAACACCTGAAGCCTCGTCTGTTATCTGTGCTCTTATGTGATGCTTGTGGCCACTAAGCGCTGTCGAACGCAGTGTATTGGAAACTCATCCGAAACATAGAATGAAGATTGACGTATGCTTCGTGTGAAGCAATCCAGGTATTTTTTGAACAGTGATCGGTGCCGAAGAATCGAGTGTAAACGAGTGATATTATTCGGATGGCAGTGCTGTGTATATGTTAGCGTTTCTACTTCGGATGCCTTATTGCGTAGATATTCTTGTCTAATTCCTTGGTCATCCTTGCGCTCCACTCACCTCGGCGTGGAAATTTTTGGATGACGTTCCATTAAAGCAGCTACCCTAAGCAGAGCAATTCATGGCTAGTAAAATTTTGAGTTATGAATTAAAATCCAGTATTAGTCAAGGTTCATATGTCTTGTAGTAATATTACTGAAATGTCGTACATGTATCCTTCTTATGGAGTTTAAAAATCGTTTAAATATAGCTATCAGGTGGCGTCCATAACGCCATTTGTATCGAAGCACCAACTCTAGCGCGTGTTAACACACGCGCCATGAATCTCCTACAGCTAGCGCGGTTCCCGGCTCCCGCACAATGTAAACAAAACTTCTAGTGCCACATCCGAGTTCCAGCAAAATACCCTGTTGCTTTGTGCATTTTTTGGCTAAATTAAACTTTGCCTTGTAATTATAATCACGGTGAATTTTCATTTTAAAATGTTTTCATTGTTTTACTTTTTGGAAAGTAATAGTAAATATTATCTCATCGTTTTACACAATTTATCAAATGTTCATTGCTATATTATTCTGTTCGCAATAAGATGTATCTTCCTGCTCATGGTTTCGCCGCATTTCCCTCCAGCGATACACTTAATATCGTTTAATCTAAGTTTTCGTTTTCTTGCCTGTCTTCTGCATTCTTGCTGAACGGTAAATAATCTTATACTTTCAACACTTACTGGCCCTTGAATGCAGCAGCAGTAGATCAAATAATCAGTATTGTGCCTCGCAAGATCATAAGGACTTCTGCTGCATGGAAAGTTAGCGGTATTGATGTGTCTTACTAGAATAATTGTGCCGCGGTATTGGATTCCCGTGCCGTTAGTGTACGTAATTAGTGCGAGTCTTGGTGTCGTCGTCTGTGCTGTTGACGCATCAAATCTTTGATGTCTTCATTAATTTCAAATTTCATCAGTAATTTTGTTCTATTATATTTTAGCTTTTAGGACGACCTACTATACTTTTAGCGGGAATATTTTTTGTTTGCTCTAGTTACTGTAGTTGAGAACGGCGTATAGGTGAACTATATTATAGGTACTTTCATTTACTGTGCTTCGCGTGCCAATGCTTACGATGAATGTTTTTCATATAGCGTTACGATATGAAGAATCTCGCAAGTATCTCTCTTTGCTTTTGAATTTTTTCATCTTCTCGTACTTCGATTTTCAAAATTTGTCAACACTGCAAATAGCAGCAAGCAGCTGATACTTATGCTGATAGTTTTCTTGCAATACTTGTACTGCTCTACTTAGCACCCCTCGTCTCTGCGGTCTGCTTCTGACTGTGTCGAACTGTAGACTGGCTTTTATCAGTACAAGTATTGCAAGCTTCGATAACTGCGGCTGTTTCACTTCTGATGCCGAGTAATTATTCTTATTCACAATTATCTACTTACGCTACGACGAGTGTCAGGGATGAAAAACTATCATTATTACTGTCGGTAGACAATCAGATGGGATTCCTTTCTCTGTCATCAAGTCGGCTAGTGTTTACACCAGCGCCCGCTCAGTCCTCACATGCGTATGGGTCGATGTTTGCAGCAGCCTTTATGGCACGATTATCACCGCTGCAACTTGAACAGTCCCACAAATGTTAGTGCAGCATTTGGCGAGCTCATACGGTATCGAATGTTCTGGTGTTGGCGCAAGTCGTTCACTGTTATCGTCATGGCTTTCTAACAACTTCTCGTCGGTCCATACGAGCTGCATTTAAAGGAAGGCAGCTAAAAAAAGTTAGAACGTCGCCACATCCTTTATCAATGAATTACATCCGATTGTTCATACGAATGATGTGCTTGAAATCTCTTACGGCTCGATTATTCCATGGGTTTGTCACGAGCTTTCTATAGCAGAACCCGCCACGTTTAAACCAAAGAGTGTGGGAACGATCTGTGCTCGTTCACATGCGTCTCTATTAGCTATTCAATATAGAACTGTACGATTCTTAGTATCTCCGCGTTTTATTTAGATAGATCTATGTTCTTTATTTTGAGAGGCTTGCAGGAATATCTTTAGTCTAATTTTCAGCCTAAATGTATTTTAGTTTGTGTGTGAGTTCGTATAAGAGGAGCTTTCCTGAATTTCCAGCGATGCACGCGCTTTCGCATTTTTTATCGATGTCTTTCCTTAATTACTTTATAGTTGTTGTAGCATTATTATCTATCTAGGAAACCTTCGTTTTAATTTCCTCTGGCAATTTTTATCTTTATATTAGTTCTATGTGTCTAACTTTATATTCTCGGTGCTATTTACATGTTCCTGTTTGAAATTAAGTGGAAGCTCTGATGTTTTGCCCTTCGTTGCGAAAAAAGCTTTCGCATTGAAGGGGAAAAATCGACTTTTCGAGCGGATCGTGATTTGAAACCTCGGCCACTGTGTGAAGTAGACCTAATAAGGTCGGTGAGTCTGTGTTGTTAAATTTACCCCAATTTCAATGATATTCAATTCTTCGTACCTCGTAAATTACGTGTTTTGGACCTCCATCTAATTATACATGTTCTAATTCTTTGGCTCTATTGGTGTAGATAACGCTATATTCGACTTGAAAATTTAAATTTGGTGCTGAATTTTTTTATTCATTGAATTTTATTAATTGCGTCTGTTCATCCCGAATTTCTCGTAAAGATTTTTTGAACTGTTAATTCCACGTAAAAATGTTCAGCTTTATTCCGAGCTTCTTGCCCTCTGCCTTCTTTTGTAATCCTGGGAACGACTGGAGGCGTAAGGCATACACTTCAATTGTTTGTCCCTCTTTTACGACTACTAAAGCGAGGCCTCGAGGAGCTGCAGGCCTCTTCTCTCTTTCCTCTCTCTCCATTTTCTTCTTTCTCTTTCTCTCTTTCCTCTCTCTCTCTCCATTTTCTTCTTCATCTTTCTCTCTTTCCTCTCTCTCTCTATTTTCTTCTTCCTCTTTCTCTCTTTCCTCTCTCTCTCTATTTTCTTCTTCCTCTTTCTCTCTTTCCTCTCTCTCTCCATTTTCTTCTTCCTCTTTCTCTCTTTCCTCTCTCTCTCTATTTTCTTCTTCCTCTTTCTCTCTTTCCTCTCTCTATTTTTTTCTGCATCTTACTCCCCTTTAGGATACCTATAATATTGCTTGCAAGAAATCATGTCATTTCGCGAAGTTTAAGATTCCGTTTCGTTAACAACTAGTTTCTCTAATTCAATTTTCGCGTTCTTCTTCTTCGCACTCTTGTTTCACTTCATAAACTGTTTGCTCTGTATCGAAGCGATTCATAAATGAACTCTACAGTTGTGTTGTTTCAACTCGTCCTCGATTCATTGTGTGTCGAGGTGGGCATAACGAATGCCACAGATTTGTGTAGTTCATTGAGAATTAATTACTTAGAGAAAGCCAAACAATAATTAGAGTTAGTTACTCTGATTCTCATTCCAGTGTGCTTCATTCGTAAATTTATGGAGTTAACTTTGAAGTGATCGTTGATACTATCGCCGGGGAATTTATGTGAATGTGTCATTCAAACTGCACCTCCTCGGAAACCAGTGAATCAGTGCTAAATTCTATGCTATGAAAACTAACTTATTTTTAGAATAAGTTGCAAATAGAGCCGGAAACCGCGAAGCTTGGCTTCAATTTATCGTTTTTATGCGAGCTCTTCAACTGAGCGTCAATTGCGTAATGCGTTCAAAGGGCCTTCTATTTGTGGTATTTATCGGTAAAATATTATATAATTCCGAATTTTTTTCTTAGTCATTTGTGCGATCTTCAATGCATGAATATGCCGGAATCAATATAGAAAATAGGTGTGAAAATGTGTTTACAAGATTATTTATATTTGGACACATCATATAACACACTATAACACAATATAACACAATATTATTATAGGAAAATACGTTTTGAAGTGTATTGTGTATGTTTAGAGGAAATCTAATTTAAACATAATATCAGGATTTTTTTGTCGCAATATTTTTTTTCTGCTTCAGTGAATCGCATCGATAACTTCACAGCTCGGCGTAGCGTTGTAAGTTGAAAGAATAATTTTTTAGAATATATATTTTGAAGTCGAAAACTTTTTTGTAATAAGCTCCCACATTTCATTTTAGCCTCTAAATGTACTGTACAGTATTTTGTATGGTTTTCATTGTCTTTTACTTGGATATCTGAAAAGATTGTATGAGCGAGCCAATCTTAGATAGCCTATTGGGCTTCCTTTCAGGACTATCGCATACGGAGGTATTTCTTAACATTGTGTTAGTTTATGTTGCCAAATGAACAGTTCACATATGCTTAGTGCTATTTCTATGTAATAACTTTATCTCTATTAAGTTATCTTAGAATAATCATGTATGTTTCCAAAGGTTTCGTCTCTGACTTTACTTATTGGAAAAACATTAACGCATGTTGACCTCGTCTGTCATCCTCTTAAGCTTGGACTGCTAATTAATGCCAACTCTTCATGTGAGGACTTACATTTTGTGCTCCAATGATGATTCATTTTTCAAAAAATTTAATTTTCCCCACAGTGAAACGCCTATATGATACCTAATTAGTAGCTAGAGCTCTGGGAAAAAACTTTATAGTAAATCCACCTTATGTTTGCTGAAATGATTCATTCCCGAAGAGTGAAGAGCATGAACAACGTTATTGAATCAAAATGGGATTCATAATTTAATTTTAATAACTGAGACTATGCTGGTTAGCTGCCTTATAATTTAGAGTCTCGCTTGTTCTAGATTATGAGTTGTCAGCGTGATCTTCGGACGCTGATGTACCATTATTTTATCACGTGAACACTGGCTAGTTAAATTTATATTCGCTGTATAAATATTTCTTGTGATTCACATTATCGGTGATAAGACTTGAGTTTAAAGCGAAGAAATTTATGATGTATGAACCTAAAGAGTAACTTGTCAATACTGGTTAGTTTTTAGGCTACAAGTGCCTCACAATCAAGCTCCATGATGGCGAAAGAAGTCAGAAGCAGTAGGAAATTTGTTCCTCATAAGATGGAAGTATCCAAATCGCGTCGATACAAATTTAATCCGTTGGAAATGTAAACATTTCGGAGCATATGCCATCTCGTTTGAAAAAAAATGCAACTTCATAACCGTGGTAAATGTTTTGTGTGCTTATTTTCTATTTTTTTTTTTTTTGCTCGCCTACAAAGTTATTTCCGTTCGGTGAGGAAAAGCATCGAATTTTTCGGCCGGAGCTGATAAACTTCGTAGAGAGAGACTCGGTCTATCATAGCGAGTGCGCGATAAATGTGAATCACAAAACTTTAATTTAAATAAGGTAATACATTATTTCCGGAAGTGCGACTAACCATAAAAAAGGTTATTTACACTCGTAAAAAGGAAAGTAGAAATGAAAGAAAGTTTTTGTTGGTATTTTTGTCATGAATTTTTCTGATTATAGCCGTTTTGACATCAAGATGTTCCATATTAACACAAAAGCACGTGGACGCCTAAGAAAACAGTCTCCGTTATTCTCTAAATATACCCATTTTGATCGTTGACCGATTTATTCGTTGAAGAGCTTCAATCTGCGATGCAGCGTCAAACTCGGAGATTTATAGTTCTATCTTCTGATCGACCAAGTTGGCAAACAAATATTACGTTTGACTATAAAGATCGTCACAGTGAAAGTACATTAGTAAAGTAAGAATTAAATATGGCTGGTGATATTGACTTTGTTCGCGTATTTACGGCAGCTTGGCCGAGTGAGAGTTTGCCGTTTAAATTGGCTGGCCGGCTCTCTGCTCCTTATATTGTCTCGTGCTTCTTCCTAGCTGCTCGCCTTGAAGTGTCTCTTCTTCTTTAATAAATTAAGTGCTATCTCTTGTCTATCATTGTTACAGGTCTGGTGTAGATGAACAAAAATATCCAGAAGTTATCAGTATAGTATTCTTGTTACAAGATTTTCTTTAATTATCCCTACTGTGATAATTGTTGGCTTTCCGGGACTCGCGACTGTTAACCACAAGCTTCGTGCTTGCCCCTTCAAGGATTCGAGAAGTGCTAACAAGCGAGTGATGAATAGTTTAGTTTGTGCACAATGAAGTAGGGAAAAATAATATTTGAATAAGAGTGTCCGGTCATTAAAGGAAATATTTTACGCTCAGTTTTGTATTCATCTAAAAAATAAAGCGTTTTCTTAGCTAGATATACCAATGGGGTCGTTTTCTAGTGACCTGTATAAGGTAGTCTTTCTCGTCACACGAATAAGGAAGATACTAGTACTCTAAATTAGCCGATTTGCAATTCGTTCAGCAGCCGAGATCACATTAATAGTACAATTGGTGGTGAGACTAAACATTTATTTAGTTGAGTCATAAGCAAACGCATGTCACGTTTCATGCAAGCTCGTGTTGTGATCTAAGCATTATTAGCATTTTCTCACGAGACTTCCCGCTATTCGTTCAGCAGCTGACAACCTTAGATGTTCAGTCTAGAGAGACAACCTTAGATGTCTCAGAAAGAGTTATACTAATTTTAATAATGGCCACGAACTGTAATCGCATAAATATAACACGACGAATCGTCCGAGCAAAAACAAAAATTTTCTGTGAGTTCACCGTTTGATGAAAACGCTGAGCGGGAAGCCACTTTCCAAACCATGCAGTCGATTGCAATTATTTACGACTACGTATAGGTATTTTAATTACGTATATAATAACGTATACTTGTATAATAATAATAATGTCCTTCAAAATTGAACGTACGCGCACGCTAATATCGGTCGTAGCTCGGAGTCAAACTATCCTCGTAGACTTGTGAGTTGTTAGGATTGACAGAACGGTTCAGGAACTCGAGACTTTTCTCTGGAGTACTCCTCAATTTGAGAGCAACGCCAAACTTGAAGTGCTTGCCTTCTCCGTGAAAGCTGAAGCCGTCGTCGCAAGAGACTTGGGCGCAGAAGACAGGCATGCGATTAGTAGAAGATCTTGAATTTGTGCCTCGATGTTTTAACTCCGTGTCGAAAATGTTCGTGAGGGCACGGTATTTTTTTTGCAAGCAGAATTTTATGTATTGACTGGGGGACACTGGGGAAAAGACCAGTTTGTGCGATGGCAGGTACAGGTGAATTGGAAGCATTTTGATTAGAAACCTGCTCAAGCTTGAACCTCCAAATGGCGATAGCACTAAAAACTACATTCCGATCGTTGATACATTCCGATACCTGCAGCGTATCCCACAAACATTCTCAAAGTATTTTGTTATAGGTACCGTAGTCTAATTTTTATAGTTAATTTATAGTGCTCTCTATGTGACTTATCATCGGCCTAGCAACTATTAGTTATCTGACAATATCAACTACATATTGATTAATTATCTAAAGTCGTTAAATTTAAAGTCAGTAATAGTGACGTTTTAAGTAGCCTCAATTCATTTGTCGCCTTTCGCCTTGATTTTTCGTCACTGAAGAATTTACGCGTAGCAGGATGTAAAATACTGTTTGAAAGCAAGTGAACGAACACAATACAACGGAAATGAATGGCTGGTGATACAATTATAAATTACGTCAAAATTTCTATGGAAGTACGGTATTCAAGATAAACAGTGGTTTGCTACCAAACAGTGAGGGCAGCGTTCGGTTGCCCTTGTCGCAAGCCGTTAACTACGGAGTGACATCATGAAAGGTATGAAATTGCAGCAGGAATAAGGATAAGGAACAGCATGACACCTAAGGATGACATCACAGCAGCCGCGTGACAAGAAGTGACATCATGACACCAAAGTATGACTTCAAAGCAGCAGCGTGACAAGGAGTGACATCATGACACCAAAGTATGACTTCAAAGCAGCCGCGTGACGAGGAGTGACATCAGGACACCAAAGTATGACTTCAAAGCAGCCGCGTGACGAGGAGTGACAT